GCTCTGGCTGACGGGTATCAACAGGTTATTCAACGCTGGTCGAACGGTGCGAACCAGCACGTGTTGGGACGCCCGGATGAACTGGTGACGGTGGATCCCAATGGAGTACGTGCTTGGCAGCAAGGACGGCGTTGTATATGGAGAGAGGAAGGCATTTGGGACGTGGATAGCGTAACAGGACAACCAGTACTGCTGCGTCCAGACCACTTTGCCGGTATCATGTACGGACGGGATTGCTACGTGCCTTTCGCTGCGGTAAGTAGAACTGACAAGTATCTGTGGGATTGAATAATTATCTAACGAGTGGGTTGTCGTATATATATTTTTTATTTATACAGCGCTTCGCAGAGCGTATTCGCAGTATCTTGCCGCATATTTTACTGTTCGTCGAGATGCCGCCACTGGAGTTTAGCATTGACGAGTTTCCTGAGATTGATGACGCCCTCATTCCTCGCGCAGTTAATGCTACGCACTGGTATGATGGTGTTACGTTGTTTCTCCGTGCCTGGCGTCCGTATTTCACTGTGGACCCCAGGACTAAGTGCCCTGCATTTGGCTACGCTGCTGTGCGCAGGACGCACATGAAACAGTTAGCGGGTATCAAAGGATACGGGAGTGAGCAGATGAACAACGCTCCAACGCTCATCGGCGAGACAGGCATCCCGTTTAATATGCACAGTGGTAAAGCGTTCAGAAGTGGTGGCTTCAGTGCACAAGTTGGTGCCCTAGACAACACCATCTCGTGTCTGGAAGCGAGTCTGGTCTCCTTCACGCTCTGGTGCTACACATCCGACAACTGCAATGGCTACGGTGACCAGTGGAATTTGGAGGATCTTAGTCTTATCAGCATGGACAAACCTATCCGATCGGGAGCTCAACTGTCTGTTCCAGAGCGAGATTCTTGTGGTCGAGCGGTTCACGCCTTTGCTCGTCCGTATGCTACGCGCATTGCTGGCACTCCTTCCAAGTCGGAGTTTAATCTCGATCGAGTGCGCTACGAACTAGAGTTCTTCTCGGACCCAGCCAAGTCGAATGAAGTTGCGATGCACCCTACGGAGATATTCGTGCCGCAACTGCAGTATCCTAGAGGCTACACAGTGGAGATTTCCGATGGACACTTCTCCGTTCAGTCACACGATGGCTGGGATATCGTGAGCTACTTGCATGATCCATCGAAAGTCAACCACTGGTTCGTGATCACGTCCAAGGACTTGAACATCGAAAAGCGTCGGCAAGCTCGCATCGTTCGGCGGAGGATAATGAT